TTTAATTAGTTTCATTCCAGAAGAATATCCTCCTTGAATGAGAGAATTTTCAGAACGAAGTCCAAATCCGCACCTGTGTCTAATTCTGCTGAATGGAATTCTGCGAATCTTTTCACCATTAAACACATGTTTTTCACTGGTCTGACCAGTCCCTCCAATAAAACTCTCTACTGTTCTATTTGAAACAGAGCTGAGAAGATTCACAGTCCAGGCAAATGTTGGGATGAATATTGATGATTCACGAAGGGACCGAAGCGGTCGGGGAAAGCCGGAATCTGTGCGCGCTCCGAGATAGATAATGAGACCCGCAGATAATTAGCACTCCAAAATCTCATCTCAGACTCCGGGGAGGGGGAAGCGTGGAAAAGACGATGGATTGCGGCCTCGTCCCGCCGGAGTCCAATTGCCGGAGTGCCCGAATTGGAGCATTGCGCGCTGTTTTCTTCGTCGTCTCCGTCGAAGCTGCTGCCGCCCGAGAGCGATGAAAGGCTTAAAGTCTTAAGCTAAGCTGAAGGAAGAAGCATCAACTGGCTGCGGGAGCGCGCGGAACTTGGGCTGCTCTGTCGAGGATAGCGAAAGAAGGCGAGAGGGACTGGGCTTCAAAAAACCCAGGACCACTGTCCACTAAGATTCGCGAATCTTCGCCCCCTATGTCCCTCGAGCAAACCCTGTCAGAGGAAGCAGGGATCCTTGTGATGCCCCTCCGTCGAGCCAAGATTCTCCCAGCCCAAGTTAAGCCCATATTGATGAGGTTTTCTTCGGAGGAAATGCTCAGAAGCTAGAGGATCGAGGAGCGGCGACTTTTCCGCCACATTTCCCCAAGTGGCATTTCCGAGCATTTCCTTGAATCCATCGTGCCGTTTTTCCCCTGTGCCGCATCTCCGCGTTCCCCCGGGTTACGATCGCCATCCCCCGCACTCCGATAGCGGGCCCCTCCCCCTTTTTCTCCGCTCAAAGCCCGTCATTATCCGGTGATGTCTATCCTGGAGGAGCGAATCGGTTCGATTCTCCACGTTGGCGACGGCAGATGCGTGATGAGCGAACAAGGTCTAGAAGGTCCCCTGGACCTTCTCCGGGACGGCGATCGTTAGGCCGGACCATGCGGAGAGGGATATCCATCGAAAGGCAATTAAAGAAGAAGAGTCCGAATGAGTTCTAGCGACTGTTCCAAGTCAAAGCCTGTGTTTCGGAGCGCATCGCCATCGATTTCTTCCCTCATGACCGGCGAGATAACATTCGATTGCATCTGGAAAGGGACACAAATCCGGCGGAAGACACGGACGAGACTTGTCTAGAATCGCGGATTCTCGTAGGGATGCGAGTCCGCTTCCGATAGTCCGGATATTCAACGCCTCCGTCGTTTTCTTCGTGATTCGGAGCGAGAAAATGTGTGAGGGTAGGACCCATCAATGATGATCATTTGGTGTTCATCATGCTCCAGATTTTTTGACTTTCAGTATGCGGACCATATAAATAAGGGCATTGAGCCGTTTTCTCAGTAGATTAGGATCTAAAGGGTTTTTAATGAACCGATACAGCTTTCGATAAATGGTCACGGCTCACGGGGTTTGTTCCGATAAACATCGACGTCGCGGAGAGAAATTTAATATGGGGACGATGGTAATCTCTGCATCGAATGATTAGATCGAAACATCGAACCGGGGACCCTGCTCGCAGATACCCCTCTCCGGCTCAGTGTCTTGCTCTTCCCTTCTCAGAAATTTCCAGCGTGGCCGTTTTGCTGATTGATCAGAATAATGGGCTCCGATCTATCGGCTAGCTATCTGTAGGCAGATACATCGTGAGCAACTTCGATGTAGGAACGCCCCCCGCTTGAGCGACCGGGCGATTGAGTGAGTGAGGTTCGCTCGCTAAAAGGTCGATGACAAAGAGCGGACTCGATCGTAGCCGTTTTTTGTTCTCAGTCAGTTCAACGGTCATCGTCTCCCTGACCGATCCCGATCTGACTGACTGCGAGCTCGCTATCGGCTATCCGATTTATTATTTCGCAGAGCCACATCCCCGCAAGACTGCTCTTCACGAGGCGGAAGGATAAAAATTCTTGACTTGATTGTCCGAAGCTCATCCAGAGCCCCGCTGCGACAGTGGCTTCCGTCAACTGATTTTGAATAGTGAAGACGAGCATCGATTTGGCCAACGAGTCGCCGACTGACTGTCAGACTCCAGTGGGCATTTCTCAAAGCGACGGATAGGAAAGAGGAATCTCGAGGAGAAATCATATGAAGAAGTTGCGGACAACGGTAAGGTAAATGCGAATGGAATTTGATGGCATTGTTTGGATTTCAATCGACCATTCAGACCGCACGGTCGATTCGACCCGAGCGGCCCACCGCTGTTGTGAACTACATCAGCAAGGAGTCAGGATGCCAGACCGAGTAATGGACAAACAGGCTACTGCGACCGTTGAGCTCGGGTGCGCTGAATCGAACTTTGTTTCATTACTTCCTGACCATTCTCATCTGGCTTTCAGTCAACTTCATTGCTTGCATATTATTGTTGGCTCTCTGGATGCCTCCATTCCTTGATGATGGATCAATCCGAGACAACATCAGGCAACAGGTGCGGCGGCCCACCGTGGCTTATTTTATCGAACAGCAGCTCAAATCGGACGGGCTGAACACTTGTCAAGATAACATGACAGCTACTGGTAGAGCCAGGAGAGCCTGCGCTACCAAATCCGATTGACAACTTGGCTTGTCGATCTTGTTATTGTGGCAGTGAGCTGGAGATACCAACGCTAACGAAGCAGACGTGTGAGACCTTTTCTCGGCTGTAAGTCCAATGTTTGTCGTGTAGTCATGTGAGCAGAGACTCATGGTATCCGGCAACGGTCATTCAACATAGGAGAATAATCCAAGACCTCTCTCAATTCGATATCGTTTTCCTCCTCGTAGGAGGGAACCAAGACTACCTCTTCGTTTTTTCCAACCTTACCGACCCGCAATCGCCGTAATAAAGAGGAAACATCGTTGTGAACAGAGAACCCTCTGAAATCTGGATGAATGGGATCAGTGGCCCTTGCGAGAGAGTTTTACCATGGCGTACACGTTACGGGACAATTGCGCCTCGATGAGGTACACGTCCTCGACCGCCACAGCGGCGTTAACGATGACAGCGTCACCCCACTGGCTCGCTCGTATCTCACCGTACACGAAGTCAACCGGGAGTCAGTCGATCTCTTCCTCGCCGGTGCACTCGCTGCAGTAGCTGCCGCAGATATGATCTTCAGATAACGAACGATGCCGTTGATGGGGCTGTTTGTGGTCGTGTTCATGTCAGCGGGGACACCGAGGAAGAGACAGTTTTCCTCGTCCCCTTTCTTGGCTGCTCGTTTCGCCCGCGCCGAGAAACCATATCTGGCGAGCGTGCCGCCTCTGGCTCCAAGACTGACGAAAAAGAGCGAGCAAAGTCTTCTGATTAGAATATCGAGATCCATGCAGAAGATAACTTCCGACAGGAGAGAAACAAAACAAGACGCTCGGGCTCAGTTGAACCCGTGGGTCACGTCCCTCTTTCAGAAAAGAACCGCAGCATTTTCAGTGATCCTCCGACGACGTCCATCGGTCTCATTAGGGCTTGTCTCCTTGAGTCGGGAATCAGAATTGCGAGGCGTATCCTCTTGAAGCATCTCCGATCCCTCCGCCAAATGATTCCAGACTCTCTCGATAGAAGTATGAAGGAAGTGACGGCCCCTCCTTCGGGGTGTTTAGCTCAAATTCCCGATGAGTGTTCACCATCGGAGTTATCAAGTTATCGAGGGATGTCGAGTATCTGCCTCCGGATCACTAAGCCGCAACCGCCGAGGCAGGCACCCGCTATTCTCAGAGAGTAGACAAGAGTGAGTGTCGTTCTGTTGTCCAGCCAACAGAATGACAACCGCTTGCCAGATGGGGAGAATATTGTATATGCGGCGCTTGGTGGGACACAGCATAGTCGAACTCCCGGAGTCCGAACGCGACGGTCGGATCCGACCGCTGACATTTTTTTGCCTCGCTGACTCCCCCTACCCCCGCTCTTCGGCAACTTGACAACTCATCAGCAAGCGGCGCGGCATGGTCAAGTCGCTGGACCGGGCACGAACCACTGAACGACCGGGAGAGAGCGAGCGAGAGCGCGTAATCAGATTTTTTCGAGAGTGGATAAGTTTCATTTGCTTATTGTGTTGTTGCTTCGTAGAGCGGAGCTCGAAAGAGCGGGACTTGTTCGGGAAGCGGGTGGATTAGTCGTCCGAGTGGAAAAGAACAGTTTAGTGAGGAGATGAAGAACGATATATACAGATAAATGAATGCTCGCTCCGAGGGACAGTCGCCTCAGCAGGCCCGCCCGACTGGACGACGAATAAAGAAGAAGGAGACCACAATTGGATTTCATCTCCTCTGTACATTCGCCAACGAATTCCATACACACACACGCACGCCGAGACAGCGATGAGTGGCAGTAGACAAACTACGGTCATCCCTCAGGGCTCTGCAGGTCTGTCAATTTGATTCTATCCTGGGTGCTCTCGTTGCATTCACAATCCCCCACGACCGAGTGAGATGCTTCAGAGCTCCGACCGCAGGCAAATGTGGCCTGGTGTCCTGGGCCTGACCCCTCGTCTCTCCAATCACTAATTCGATTGGGTGATTGAGAGTATTTGCGGCGACTGTTTTTTCCCCGGGGACTCCATCGTCAAATGTGAGCGGATTTTCACCGTTGTTCGCGGAATGGCTCCTCGAATCCCTCGAATCACTAAGCTCGAGAATATTCGACATTCATCGATCTATACCCGAGGAATTTCGTTGACGGAAAACACGGAATGATAAAACGGAGTTCCAGGCGTACCGAGTCCGCCGCTGACCGCCGTAATGCTACTCATAGGAACGAAATACTTATTTGGCGGAATTTCCCCCTACCCTTCGTATTGACAGCACTCTATCATCGCGGCAGGTGATGAAGACAAGTGACATGGGAGAAACATCAAGGTTTCGACTACTCACGAATTGAGTTGATGCGTAGTTTCGGGGGTAGGTTGTCCTGCCAAGCGGCGTTGCATTTCTGACACACGATGGCGACGATGGCTAGCAGCGCTAGTGAAGGAATTCTCGAAGGCTTCATTGATGAATTCGGCTACAGAACAGCGAGCTGAGAGACAGTCAGACGATTTGGTGAAAGAGAGACCGATTGAACGAACGGCCGATAGGCGAAGAAAAAAATCTTTTTGAATTCCGAAACGATGAATGCTCGCTCATTCACGTTGGGCAGACGATCCTGCCTCCACCAGATGGAGTCTCTCTTCGGTTCTCTACCGGTACCATTTTGTCTCTGCAAAGAGAGAAAACAGAGAATTTAGTTAATTCCATTCCGATCTGAAATTACCTGGGACTAAATATCGTTTGACTTGATTCGCTAATGAGCGTGTCACTAGAGGAAGTCAGGATTGGAGTCTGCGGAGTGCGACCCGAATGTGAAGATCAATAATTACTATTTGTCAATAAGTCACCAGTCACCGTATGATACCGGATTGAGTCATGGTCGACCCATCGGAAGCACCAAAAGCATTGTTCGACACCTTCACTGGCCGATGCTCGAAGTGTTTGCCATTGAAGCTCCAATGAGTCGAGCCGAGTCTGCTCATCTGAGCCATGGAATAACTGACAGACTGACTCGTGGGAGGGAAAATGCAGCTTGCGCGGTTCCCATGCGAAGGTGAACCTGTCGCATACCTCTAACTACAGCTGTAATTCCTCAAAGAAGAAGATTTCATTATGATTTCCTCCTGTCGCTCGCCTATTTCTTGTTCGTTGTCGGACGCACGAATCGACATCCTTACGGAGGCCTGGAACCACTCTACTTCTTCGCTTCTATGCCTATTGAGGGCAGCAGGGGAGAAAAAAATAATACCGGGAGTCGGGAGTCGACACCGGGGGAGGGAGGGTCGATGAATCCATCGAAGGTCAGTATATAATTTGCTCCATCGACTGAGGATCTGGCTCCTGGCTTTCGCTCTTCAAACCTCTTCGAATCACACCACTGGAGATGAGCTCCAGCTAGATTCATGAGTCATGAGTACCCTCCCGAGAAATGGCGCCCCGTCCACACTTCGTCGGATTGCAGAGTGCAACTCCTCGAGAAGGACCTTGAAAACTTGTAGGGGAGATTCATGTTGCTTCCAACCACCCGGAAAAGAGGCGCGCGACGGAGGTACGGCATTCTTCAAAATGCAAGAGCACTCGAAGCACGCGAAACCTGTCAAACACACGCAAACAGTCAGAAGCGAAAAAGAAAGACGAACGGAAGTCGAAACGGGAAATAAATGGATAGCACGCTCGAGTCTTCTTCGGGACGAACGAACGGGAGCTGTTTGTTGGAGATCTATATTCAAGAAGCGTGATTGTATAGCCTCACCGAATGTCAGCGGTTATTAGAATACTGACTATTTCTCTATCATTCTCCGTTCTGGATACGCAGCACGATTTTGACGTTCCGGGTATAACCGACTCGGGATCGACTCCGAGGATGAATCGGGGCCGCTGACCTGCGATTCTGTGAGGAAGTTTTGCCGGCAGCAGGAGTCGAGCTCATGCCTATCGCCTGCTCAAGCCGCGGGACAGGCTCCCCGATACCTATGAGCTATGAGAATCGGTAGGCAGGGGAAAGGGAAAATCGCACTCGATCGCAAAAGGAAGTATGGGGAAACGGGACGGCAAAAAGAAACATTGAGTGAAAGTTTTGCAAGGATGAAACCCTCCTCATATCCGCCGTCGATCGGACCTCATGCCCCATTGGGCGCCATCTGCTACTCACTCGCGGATGAGCATTCCAGAGCGGGAAGATGAAGCGAAAAAATCATAGATGAGATACGAGAGCTGTCGAAAAGACGTCTTGACAGTGTTCGCTTCCATAGTGTTCCTTTTCTTTTCTGCTGCATCTTGAGCTAAATCTGGCAAACGTCTGCCTGTGCAGTTGTTGTTTGACTCGACCTGGACAAGCCGTTTCGTTTCATTTTTTTTTCTTCTGTTAGAGCCATGTCGGTACGTCGTTCCCTTCGTCCGTTCGTCCATTCAAAATCAGCTGTTGTGCCCACCGTCATAGGTCCATCATTAGACCGAGCAAGAGATGAAGCTGTCACTTATAAAAAGAATGGAGCAAAAAACTCAGGTGCTGGCTCCTCTTAACAATGAACATCGCAGTAACGGGGCCGATTCATGGCACAGCGACAACAACGGCGGTACCTACCAGCAGCGTCCGACGCCAAAACGGTACCAGCACAAAAGTCCATATCAGCAGTAACTAGTCGAGAGGCGACATCCGGCGAAAGCAAGACGCGCGCAGACCTGTCTGTTTACTGGAAAATACCAGCTGTTCCTCTTCCTCCAGACGCCGATCCGTACTTCACGGAAAAGATACAACCCTTCTGCCGCTGGAACGAGCGCCGGTCCCCGCTGAAAAGATAGTTCTCCGAAGCACATCGATACATAAAGATCCAGACTTCCGTCTTGTGCCATCTTCCCGCAGCTCGAGGGACGCAGAGGACATTCTAGGGCGCGGAGATCGTAAGCCCCCCATGACCCCGTGAACATTCCTCGGCGCCTAATTTCCGTCCTACTTCGAGCACAGGATCATGCGACCCTTGTCGGTGTGCAACTTCGAGACGAAGACCAAGCCATGGGACATGAGCGCCCTCCGCGACCCTCTCCAGTACGATGATTCGTGAGATTATAATATTTACTTTGACGAATGGCGAATTCCGCTGAGAGGCGAATAGCTGAAATGACCGCGACATCTCACGAGTGAAATGGTACCGCACCTCGCTGCTCAGATTCAGGAGGGATGCTCACAGCGAGGTGCACAGATCGTGGGAACTTCTCCCAGTAATTGACACCGCGCCACCACGCTCGTTTGGTGCGATTTTACAAGCCACGGAAGTTGTCACCGAGTCTCCCACAGCTTTTCTTCCAATTATTCAAACGACCTGAACAAGGCTATCCACGCTTAATTGCAGGAAACGTGATTCGGCGACTTGAGGCCGCAGCGTTTTCTAGCGCTCGTTGCCCCCCTGTTCCTGCTTCGCTCATCACCTCATCCATCCTGTGGAACATGAATGTTTTTCTCCGACAAAAAGGGTGTAGTGACGATTAAGAGTAGCGACTAGTAATGAGAGGTCACCGTCGAGCAGTTTCTCTAGGGCCTAGAGGGTGTATCCGTCTGGTTGGGCGAGATGGAAGAAATCGGAAGGGCGCGCTCAGTAGTGGACACAATTAGCCGAGCGTACCGGGTTAGACGTTTCGATGGTTGGTAGCTTATGAGCTCCTCGCTCCGCTTTCCGGCAAGACTCAAGATGCCGTAACTGCGCAGCTTTACGACCAGCGGTTCTTTGGCAACAGCACCAACCCTTCTGCTGCAGCTACTCCGCCTCCCTTCTCTTCACGCCGTCCCACCGTACACCCATCGGAAACTCGTTAGAGTATCTGCCATACTGGCAGGTAGCCAGCCGTGCAACCAGCCACCGGACTCTGGTCTCAAACACAACACCTGGTCCCGCAATCCTCTACCGGGACTTCGCCTGACATCCCCTCCCCCCACGCCTCCCGGTCAGGAACGAGGGATGGTTTTCCGCTTCTCGGTGCCCCCATCTAGCTGAGGAGTCTCCCCTCTTCGCTTGATGACCGTGCAGAGAATCAGGAACGAAACTCCTGATTTGCAAGAGAGCGTCAATCACAGTGCGCGCTAGTGAGAAAAAAACGAATGTTTGGAAAATCGCGAACGTCCCTCCTTTTCTCCTCTTCTCCTTGATTCCTTATTCATTGCTTCGCCATTCGATGCCATTTGCGATACTCATTGGTAAAAAAAATGAGAGAATTTCGTTGCTCTTCCCTCGATCCGGGAGAGAGAGCCACACGTTCGTGTCACGGAAAGCTTTTTTCACATCTTTTCACTGCCGGCTCGACTTCTAACAGCGTGGCTGGGTTTTATGACTTAATTCATTAAAATCTGCTACACGATCCGCGAGACAGTGAACACGACGCGCGCAGCACTCAGCCGCTTGTTGCGCGGTCGCACCATGCGACGATCGTTACCGCGATCATCGAGCCAATTATCCCTCTCGATGGTTCTCCTTTTTTCCACCGCTGGCTGACGCCGCCGCCGCTGTTTTATTATCACGAAGATGATGATCTTAATCAAAAACATAAAACGGGGCGGAAGTGCGCTGTCAATTCCACCGCCTCTGGAGCACGCTATCCTCGATATTCGGGAGATGGGCATGCAAAACAATGCCGCTTCATCTCCGCCCCGGACAGATCCTCATGTCGAATAAATCGCTTCAATATGTAATCATTCTCCGCAGTCAGGCTTTGAACTGCTCGCTGGGGAGCTCTCGACCAAGATGACCAGACCACGCGCTCGATCCTCGAGCGGAACTCCGGAGCCCTTCCGGAGCGAATGAAAATCTTGTTACTCCGTTTATCGCTGTTTTCAGGCGACGCGACGTGGAAATGGATTCGGAGCTTGTTAGCGGTTATAAAAAAACTGGAATTTCATGACTCCGGCTTCGCCGGTAGTCGTGATCGCAATTCCGGGACGAGATGACCAAAGGGGGGGCATTTCGAGTCATTGTTTTTTTGATATTCCAATCATTATCCGGAATGAGAGCGTGAATCAATCTGCTTACTCCAGAATGTGACGAAATATCCGGTCTCGACTCGTCTAACGAGCTTACGACGCGATTGTTGTCGACGCTGTTGACAGCGATCGGGTCGATGACTGCGGAAATCTAGATCGGCCGCACTGAGAAGACCTTACATTGTTGTGATATTAGCCGAGAATTGTCGGATTTCTCTTCATTTCCCCTATTCTTCCTTTGTTGTTTCCTTGTTGAGCTTACGATTTACCGCTAGGCTCGCGAGCTGAAACGAGCGAGCAGAGTCTTGAGGGAAAAAGAGCGAATTCCAAGTGAAAAGAGAAGTCCGTCCGCGACAACTCGCGGAAAACCGCAGCGAGGTGTGTCACGCCTAACGGTCCAACGGTTCACCCTCCGTGTG